CGAAAGAATGCAATAATTGAAATGTCACTTCTTCTCTACAGAAAATATTGTATGCAAGCAGTTAAACTGGGAGCAAGTTTATGCTTAACAGAACATGCATAAGGTAGGTTTACTGTTTACAGTATATAAATGGTTGAATATCAGAATAATTATGTATTATGCCCTACTGTACAGTTATTTTAATTACTGTATTAAGTTTGTGAATACACATAAAAGATAATTGTGTAGCCTATTGTACAATTCACAATCTACATAATAGTAAAAATTATAAGTAATCCAAAAAACCAAATAATAATTCATATATCTCAGCACTTTTACTGCTCCATCTAGAAACCTACATAATTTTAGTTGGAGAATAGCATTTACCCTTGTCATATAATACACATAAGACCGTGATTAATGCACAAACTCCTCCACTTCCAAGAAGTATGTGTAGTGCAGCTTATTACTAAATAGAGCCATTATAAAGAAAGGATTCTCATGGGTGATTGTATGCATTTTTTACAGCAGCTAACAAATCACCAAATTGGTCTAAGTTTTGCCTATCAATAATACAGAAGTTTAAAATGGTTAAGTTTTTGAGGTAAAAAATAATCTTTAATTTACAGTGGCGATGTTTCTCCAGAAGAAAGTCACTCACATTTTGTTAAAATGTATATAAAGCTGTAATACTTTTTTCTTTCTTTCAGCCTATAGTTTTGAATCCAAGATTTATTATCATGTCAGATGGATTTAATGTTTGACCTCAACGGTAGACTGTTTTATTTAACTTCTGTGCAAAGAGAATCAATATACATTTCAATAACAGACTGTATGTGAAGAGAAGTCTGGAAATCACTCTGGAAATCATTTCTGCTGGCCACCACAAAAAATTAACTAATGATATGTATGCAATTCATTATATACCAGGGAAAATTGAAAAAATGTCCAGTCATTAAAATCTGAGCAATGTTATATTGATGATCACGGATTAATAAATTGTAAAAAGGAAGATTATAGGTCTCGTAAAAGGGATATGTGTTTTAGATTCATATTCCTTAAGGAAAGATAATATTTTAATATTGTATGTAATTCTCCATGTTCATTAAATATAAGATATGTTTTTCTTCAATGCAATATCATCTCTTATCATCATCATTAAGGCTATTTCAACAACTTTTCTGCCTCTCAGTATGTACCGTTGACTAATTTCTGTAATCTGTATAAAATAAAATCCTCAATGTTTGATGCCTAATTTAAGGAATCTTGAGGGGAAAAGGTGTTCGAACTATATAAAAATAATTATTTAATTTCATCAAATAATGTTGGGCCCAATTCTCCTTTGGTTATAATTTCTATTGTAAAAAAAGTTATTGATTTAACTAAAAACTGTTTCCACGATCGACTGTATTCATAAAAATTATGTGTGTAAGGGTTTCAAATATATTTGTATAAACCTTCTTTATAACATTTTTACTTTAATTTTTTGACATTCATCTGTATAATACTATGGACATACAATTGTGACCTGTCTCTTATACACATCTCACATATGATTATGACTATAAAGTTA